TATACAATGGAATATTATACAGTGATCAAAAATAGTGAAATGTTCATTGATAGGTAAATAGATGAACAAAATGTGGTATATACATACAATGGAGTATTATTCAGCCTTAAAAGGGAAGGAAATTTTGACAATTGCTACAACATGGATGAATCTTGAGGACATTTTACTAAGTGAAATAAGACAGTCACAAAAAGACATATACTGTATGATTTCATTTATATGAGGTATCTAGAGTAATCAAACTCATAGAAACAGAAAGTAAGATAGTAGTTGCCAGGGGCTGTAGGAGGAAGAAATGAGTTTTTTAATAGGTATAGAGTTTTGGTTTTGCAAAATGAGGAAGTTCTGGAGGCTGATTGAAGAACAATGTGAATATGCTTAACACTAATGAACTCTACACTTAAAAATGATTAAGATGGTAAATTTAATGTTACATCATTTTACCACAATTAAAAATTTTTTAAATAGTGAAACAAAGATACTAAGTTAAAAAGGCAATGACAGAAAAATAGGTATAGTGTTCTTGCATTGTATATTTTAGAGAAAGGATATATATATACACGCACATGTAATGCTTATGTGTAACAGTATCTCTGAAAAGATATTCAAGAAACTGGCATAGTGAATATTTCTGGGAACGGGATTGTACAGAACTAAGAGATTACAGGACTGGGATGGAAAGAAAAATTAAATATTCTCTGACATTTTCTGAATTTTGTTTACCATATGCATATATTACATATTGAAATAATGATTTTTACTGAGCTTATAGACACAGGGACAGATTAATGGTTGTCATTGGTAAAGGGTGGGCAAAATGGGTGAAGGGAGTCAAAAGGTACAAACTTACAGTTATAAAATAAGTCATGGGAATGTAATAATAATTTTAAAAAGAAATAATGGTTTTTAAATGTGTATTAGGGACCTCAGAGAGAGTTTTCTCAGTTAGGTCATCCTTAGGCTATGAAATCACTTTATCAGTCCAGTTACACCTAAGTGTCAGGGTAAATAAGATCTACTTCATGTCTTGGCCTTTAAAGGGTTAAAAGCTCTTAGTCCCAAAGTGGTCATCAGACTTTAGGGTACACATGTATGTTATTTATGTCTAACAGCATATTTTCAAAATCTCTAGTTTAAGAACAACTACAATGTATATTTTTCACTTAAAACCCCAAAAATAGTTGAGGGGGGAAAAGATGGAGGAAAAAGAGAAGACAAAAGAAATGTAATAGTCAATGTTTTCTGTTTCTTAAAATCACATAACCTGTACCAAGAATAGAATAAAAGAAACTTAACAGTAACAACAGGTTTTGACTCTTGTGGGATTATTTCTTAAGACTTCTGCTTGCAAATTGTTAGGTAACTGCACAAGTTGATTTTAACACTCTTCAAAACATCCTTCTTAGCACATGAGTCCTTGTACCATACATTCCATATAAAGATTGCAACGTGTTATTACTATAATTGTTGCTTAGAAACTGTTCTTGAAACTTCTTGTTATATATGGATGTGTTTTCCTTACTAACAACCTTAGCCCATGTTTTTCTCCAAACAATAGGTGGCCAAAGGGGCATATTTCCACAGAGCCATATCCTTATATTTGTGGGTCTTGCATATCCATAAAAAAAAAAAAACCAAAACATTGTTTTTGGAAACTGTTCAGATATCTTTCCCTTTGGTTTGCAGTTTTACTGTAGCTAACTCAGCACCCAGAAAAATGCTCAGTGGGGTTACTATAAATTATAATTAATGACTCATTGTGAGCTCAATACTTCAGAGTTATGTAGGGAATACAACTTTGTATCTATTTAGAAGTGAAACACTTATAGTTTTATAGAAGCAAAATTTCCCTAGATGGCCAGTTTCTTTGAAAGCAAATATAACCCAAATGTGTAAGCCTTTTTTTTTTTACGTGTAGGAGGGAGATTATTATTACTGTAATAATATTTGATGTTGTTGTTGTTGTTAGAAACAGCAGTAGTAGTAACATCAGAAGCAAAATCATGCTAAATGTTTTTCTTATATTACTTCTCATACAGTCTTCCCAACGACCCTATTAAATAGATGGTATTGTTGTGCCCATTTTTATGGATGAGGAAATTGTGCTCAGAAAGATTAGATAATGTGTTCAATATCACAAAGCGATTAAGTGACAGAACCAGGATATGAGCTCAGTTTAGTTAAGATTTAGGCTTGTACTTCCAACGCAAGAATATGAATTCGACTTTATTCTCTTCAAAATTCCTACTAAAATAGCCAAAGGGACATTAAAAAAAGAAGGAAGGAATGAAGGAAGGAAGGGAAGGAAGGAAGAAAAAGGAAAGAAAATTGATATCTGCACTACAAACTGGAGAGGATCACCATCCTCATGCTAGAAGAAACATTAGAGGACTTTCCATAATATGAAATTCAGGCGAGACCAGGTCATAAGTAAGGCAGTTCACTCTGCAGAACAGTTCACTCTACAGAACCCAGGAACTAGCAATTGAAGTTACCAAGTACCTCAGAAGGCAGAGGAAAGAACTCAAAATGTCCTTGCCTTCCATTAGGATTTAATTTAGAACTAAATGTTAGTTGCAAATAAATACTTGTTCTACAAACTGATATTTTTAATGCTACCAGCACACTTAAATTGATACTTTGTATATTATCGAATTGAATTTCAAGTAATAAGTATGCAGTAAAGTCTTAAAATAGCTATAAGAATGCAGGTGTCATTACACGACCTCTTTAGTGAAAAATCATTTTCAAAGAGCTAGTGTAAACATGCTGAAATATGTACAGACAAGAATGAAAACTTTAAAATCTTAACTAGTTTAATTTGGATTAATTAATTTATAGTTTTCTCTGTTTTCAGTTTATATATGCCGTGGCAGTGACAAATCACTTTTGATATGCTTAATATTATCTATATTGTCATCTTTTGTGATAAGAGATTTGGGGAAAATTTAAAGCAGCTTTGATTTCTACCTTATTAATTCCTTCAAATATTTAGTTATTTATTAAGCCTTTAGCTTTTCTAATATGACTTTTAGAAATCTTCAAGTATTTTGTAGACTAATTTAAAAAAAAGACAAATGAAGAGTAAGTGTTATTTTTCCCCCTCCAAAATGCAAGGTAGTAAGAAATAAAGAGATTGCATTTTTAGGATTTAAAAAATGATTTTAAATACTTGGTTGTTTTTGTTTATTTTCTAAAAGAGGAAGAGGGAGGAATAATAGAAGATTAGACTTGGTTATAAGAAGAAAAACCAAAAGTAGACAAAAGATCATGGTAGAAAAAGGTAAGAAGGAAATAAACCAGTAGAAAGCAATTACCAGAAATAATGACTCTGAGCTTTACTTTCTTTCATTTAAGTTGATTTGCACTCTCAAACTCTTAACCTCTGCAGATATTCAGCTGATTGAAACAGCCTCAGCTTTGAAAGATCAAAGTAGGAGTCAACTAGAATAGCCATAGAGTAGTTATATATGATTAAGTTTAAGCCAGTGGTAGTGAGAAGTTTTAGTTGTTTTTTTTTTTTTTCAGGAACTTTACTGAGATATAATTGACATACAAAAGACTACATATAGTTAATGTATACAATTTGAATAGTTTGAACATATGCATACACCTGTGAAACTATCCTTATAATCAAGGTAATAAACATATCCATCACCTTCAAGTTTCCTTGTGCCCCTTTGGGGGTTTTTTTGTTGTTTGTTTTGTGGTAAGAACATTTAACAAGATATCTACCCTTAAAAATTTTTTTAAATGCACAATGTTGTTAACAATAGGCACGTGTTGTTCAGCAAATCTCTAAAACTTACTTATCTGGCATATCTGAAACTTTATGCCCACTAAACAGCAACTCCCACTTCTTCCTTCCCCTCAGCCCCTGCAACCACCACTGCTACTATAAGTTTGACTATTTTGGTTACCTCAAATAAAGAGAATCATGCAGTATTTGTCCTCTTGTGACTGGCTCATTTCACTTAGCATAATTTCCTCCAGGCTCATCTATTTTCTCATGTATGACAGGATTTCCTTCTTTTTTAAGGCTGAATAATATTCCATTGTATGTAATACCACATTTTCTTTATCCATTTGTCTGTCAATTGGAATTTAGGTTTTTTCATATCTTGGCTCTTGCGAAGAATGCTACAATGAACATTGGAGTGTAGATATTACTTGGAGATCCTGATTTCAGTTCTTTTGGATTTATACCCAGAAGTGGGATTGCTGGATCATATGGTAGTGAGAAATTTTGATTACATAAGCATATATATCTCTATATAGGGATAGCTTGGTTTCTAGCAGCTGTTACCTAAATAACAAACATTCAAATGGAATTTAATGGGTCAGAGTTGGAGCTTTTTCTCTTTTTTTGTGTGTTGTTAGTTATAAGGGAAAAGTACTCTGTATTACCAGCTAATTGTTTCACACCTTTGTCTCATTTTTCTTATCAGTCTTTTAGACAGATTTTGAAAAAGAGATTGGAGAGTGGAAGAAAGGTTTTAAATTGTTTTGTGGAATCTGTCAGGGGGATTTCGGTAGGGCATGTCTTTTGCCTCTTCTTATAAACACTTGTTAGCAGAAAGCTAATGAGGCCATGTTAGTGGTTAGATTTCCCAAGCATGTCCCGTGTTGTATTTTAAAGCCTGTCTCTAAACAGTCATATCAAATATGTACCTTTGAAAATGGAGATACACAAACACAAATCTGTCCATTCTGGGAAGAGTCCAGAGTACATATTATAAAGAGTTAGCACCATTTTTACAGAAAAAGGATATCCAAATTGGAAACCAAAGAAATGCTTCTGCTAATCAGACATAATCAACTTTCCAATCACCTAACCAATTGCCTGTTGGCTTTATTCTCTCCAAAATAGCCATCGCTAATCATAATTGCAGCTTCTCACCTATGAGCTAACACTGACTCAGTGATTTCTGCTGGCTTTTTCCCTCATGCTTGTGGCCCCCTTCTTCTGGATCTCTGAAATGATCTTGTTTATATTACAGAGCTCTCATTTGGAAGGCAGTGAATCAGCAGCGTTACTTTGCTGTGAATGTGAAGAATCAGAAATCTTTAGTGATTCCAATGTACGTAGGTATACAATTTTATACAGCCTTTGGTGATTCAAATGAAAGCTTTTGGGTAAATTTGTCTCTTAAATACAACTGGGATAGTGTCTATTATTTTATCTATTTGGCCTCACTCAGCCAAATAGTCTGGGAAGGCAAATAAGTGGCTTAGAATGAATGCATATATAAATAGTATTATACATTTGTATGCGTAGTAATCTCTCCTCAAAACATATCTATCAAAGTAGAAAATGTATCACCCTGGAACCTTGAGTGAGTTTCTCTCAATAGGGAATATGATTGTTTTTGTGGGGTTTATTAAATTTTTTTATGGTCGGTAGTATCCTTTTCCTATGACAGCTGCTTGGTATTGGTGCTGCCAGTGGACCTTTATTCCCCACATACATAGACCTTACATATCCTGGCTATTGATAATGTTAAGCCAAATAGTGTTATAATTACTGGGCTGGAGAGTCAGCTAGATCATCTCAAATGTAGAACTAATTCCATTTCCTGAGATGTTATAGATTTTATTTATCTCATCTGACCTCCAGTTGCTTTAATTATTGCAAATTGCCCATGGGATCAGGCTGAAGTTGGCGAATGACTTAAATTGACTTTTTAAAAAACGTAAATATCTCTTCCATACTAGCCTTTGCTAGTATGGCTAAAACTAGGTTCTGCAAGCCTTCATGATAAAAATCTGGGTTCTGTCAATTTCAGGATGTTTATTGTGTATAGTAGGCAGTCTATAAATATTGCTGAAGTTTCACCAATAGAACCTCTCCCCTCCCCCTCTCTGTAAGCTGTGCCTCTCAAGTATATCACTGTAGGACTGCCTGCTCTTATACTGTCTTCTTGAACATGGCATAATGAAGGTGATCACTATGGTAGGACCTCATTCAACTATTGTATTGATTTACCTGGCTGCACTTCATTCAACATTGATGAAAAGTCCGGAAAGGCATGAAGTCATTTATTGTGACTCACTAGTAGCTGGTGTGGTGCTCATTTCCCTAGTGATCGAAAACATTAACTGATAAATTCTTATGAACACTCATTTATTATCAACATTTGAGAGTGGAAAGGTTGTATTCTTTGCCCAGTGTCGTGTGATAAGCAGGGGCAGCACTGACGTCAGATCTCAGCTGACAGTCATAAGTGAGCTCATTATTAGCAAGCAGCATTACGATTGGTGGAATGTGTACCAGTCTCCTGTATACTACCCTTCAAGATTAATTTGTTCAGTCTATAGTAGAGTCCTCTGGACTTAGACTGAGTTATTGTTTTAGCTGATTTTGTCTTAAAGAGACCAGTGAATGACAATCTACATGAAGAATATTCTTATGAAGTTGGACACATGATGAAAAATAACTCTAATTTTAATGGTTTTCTTCCTTAGAAATAATTAGTTGGGTGTATGTATTTGCAGATTACTCTAGATTGCTTTATTTTATTGCCAGAACTTTCATTCATTTAAATCAGATTCGTTGTCTTCTTTTCCTCTTGAAGAGGCAAAGATGGTTATGTGTACTTTGCTGGTGTTTTTAAAGATATTGGATCCTCCTCCTGTTTTGTTTGCACGGGGAGTATTTCCTACACTTTTTTCACTTTTCTCAGATCCCCATTCCCAACCTCACATCAAAGAAAATTAAAGAGCTCCTTCCCAATTCGAAGGTTTAAATGTAAAAACAAAATTATTTGTAGAGCAAACAAACAGATTGAAATCCTCACTTTGAATTTTCTTCAAAGGAAATGGTATGGGATCTTGATAACTATTTGTAATAGAAGTTAACTGATGTAAAGAAGAGCAGAAAATAAAGGCAGTCACTGAAGAACTTTCTTCAGTCTTGAGATGACAGAACTTTGGTTAGCTATATTCGTTTATTTACTTATGCATGCATTCATCTATTCACCAAGCATCATCGGGCCCAGGGCTGTGGGGGTTAGGTATAAAATATACAATCTACCCTATAAACAAACTTTTGGCAATAAGAAGAATATGGTCTGAGGTTCTAATGTAAAACATGGTGACTATAGTTGATAACACTGTATTGTATAACTACTAAAAGAGCAGAACTTGTATATTCTCACTAGAAAAAAATACATATGTGAGGTGATGGATATGTTAATTAAATCAGATGGGGGGAATCTTTATACAGTGTATATATATATGAAATCACCACAATATTCACTTTAAATATCTTACACTGTAATTTATCAATTATACCTCAATAAAGATGAAACTTTCAAAAAAAATCTACTCTAGAAAAATGGATAAGCTATGCTTCAACAAATTAGTTTTATGGATATTCATGGAAAGCCATGAAATGGAGAGGAGAAAATCATTTGTATTCAATAAATAGGGAGAAGAGAAGAAATCTGTGGATGAGTGGTAGAAAATTTGGCTACAGGCAAAAAAGGAATGACTCTATCTGGAAGAGGGCCGGCTGCCTTAGATCTCTTGGGGCTTTCCTGGGAGGAGTATAGCCAGGTCTCTGTCCCTTCTCTAGTCTCATTCAGCTTCTAGGGAACCAGGTAAAGGTTAGAAGCAGCTACTTGTTCCTTCTGCTGTGTACAGGGTTGTTGGAGGCCTCCATAATGGGAGAAGGGACTACCTGCCCCAGAACAAGATGACAGTGTGATTAGAAGAGATCATGGAGGAAGAAGATACTGGCCCTAGCTGCAGGAATTTCACTTTGGCTCTAGATAGGAAAGAATGTAAGCAGTGACTAGAGCAGGTTGGGATACTAGTGGCTTCCACAGCCACTGAGACTCCTGATTGTCCTCTCCATTCCCCATCCCATACCTACTGCTATCCTGCCTCAAAGGAGAAAAAACTGCATGAGCTGAGATTCCAATTACTATTTGTGGGGAATCAGCTGAAAACAATTGGATTCACTACTATTGTAGGGTTATTTCTTCCCCAGCCTGGAGGTCAGGAAATTCTTGTTATATTACTTTACTTCCTAAGAATACAACTAATTTCTTTGCCTTCTTTTCATGCTCTTTGGATTCCACTCCCACCCTATCAGACAAGAAGATGGATGCATATAGGTGGTTATACTTTTTTTGTGGTCTGTTCATTCTTTTGCTTGGATATTACATCCTTGTGCGGAATGCATTTTCTCTCTATGCAATCAAAGCAGCTTTTATGTTTGAATAACCCAGTGAAAGGAAGAGGTGTTAGCCTTGTGTTATTAAAGAAAAGAAGAAAAAAAAAAGCCACTCTCAGAATCAAATGTGGAAAAGGCAGACAAAAAGAAAATCTAAAATATAAGAATTATTTGGTTTAGAATACTTTATATTTTAAAACTGTAGATTCGGATTCTCCTTTAGGGCAGGATAAATATCTTCAGAATAAAACGGTATCCTTGTATATGGCAGCTTCTTTGGAGGTTTTTACATGTTCTCACTTTGTGAGGTGAGAGAATGGCTTTGGAGAGAATATTTAACCTAATACTGTGTTCAAAATAAAGGATTTAAGAATTTTTAAAAAATTATTAGTATTAAGATAAACCCTAATTCAAGGCCTACTAGGAGTAGTGTACCTGTGGATTGAAGGAGTAGTGTACCTGTGGATTGAAGATAGAAGAGACTTGAATCTTCAAGATTCATCTGAAGCATCCTGTTTTTCTTATATGTTTTAAGACTTGGAATATGGTATGTGGGATGATAAAAACAATGAATGATTTGTTAGCTCAGAAAGTAAAACTTTTGAGGGATGAACTGCTATCATTAAATTTACTTTTGTAAGTCTCTAGAGATTACGAGTACAAACATGATGCTTGTAGATAAAACTACAGATACAATAATAGCAAACTGGTTGTCTGGAAGGTGGTGATGGTGTCTGGGCTGACAGCATGTACATCAGTCATTTCTGATGATTTGTGTTTACCTCTTCCTTTCAGCTCTCTATACTGTGTGTATTTTTTATTTCTTTTTTTAGACCATTTGCAGAGACATAATTTCACTAGCCAACACACACAAATATAAAAAGCAAGGGGAAAAATTTGTTGCCAAGGAGATCTGGGTTTTATTATGGGGTTCAAATGGCCAGTTAGCCAACAGCAAGCAGCTGTCCAACCAGAGTTTGAGATTGTGTGAATTGTTTATGCATAACCTCTACTGATTAGGGCACCTGGTCAGAAAAGGGGATCAAAGTGTTGCTGGTGGGAAAAACATAGTTTCACCATGATCAGTATTATTATTTTTTGCATTGGAAGGGGTTCTGATCCAATTGATTACACTGGTAGAAATCTCCTGTGATGTTAAACTTATTTTACTTTGTTCAAGAATAAGATATAAGAATAGCTTGACTATTTTATCCTAGAATAACAAATGAGAAGTAATTTTCAACTTTTCTTTTTTAAAATTTTACTCTCTTGAGTTGCTTATTTGAGGAGAAATGAGATTTGCAGTAATCTTGGGTACAAAGGCTATTTTTAAAATTAGCTTTATCATTTACTGAGTGTTTCTCATCATGGCTGCACATTAAAATCACCTTGATCTTTTAAAATAATTTAATAATAGGGTCACCGTCCAGTTAAATCAAGATCTGTGTGAGTGGGACCCTGGTATTGGATTTTTTTTAAATGCTCCCAGGATTATTCTAATATGAATCAAGGATTAAGCACCACTTTTTAAACTCTAGCTATGCTCATTTTTGCACCTCCAAATCAGAGCTTCTGTCTGCGACATGTTAACATGTCTTTCTTCGAAGGGCTGATAAAATGTTATATTGACTAGAATTATAAGAGTTGACAGCATACATTTGATAGCTCAGGTACAACATAATTAACATCTATTCCTTAGCTAGGCATTTGTTAAAAGAGGAGTAAGGCTCTGAAATTAGGTGATTCACAAATCCTCAGTAATCCTGTGACAATGAAAGGTAAAGTTTTCTATGAGGTTATTACTCTTCCTGTGTCAGTACTGCTGGGAGCTCACATAAAGATGAAGAAGTAAAGAGCACTTTTATACTTTGTATATTATACTCTTATTGAAATAAAATATAC